GGTGGGCGGGAGGGGGGCAAGCTGGCTGGTGTCTTCCTTCTCCGCTTGTCCACGAGGGCCTGAAGGTCAGGAGGTGCTTTGTTCTGTGCTGCGACCGGGGCCGGGGCGGGCAGGGAGCTGGGCCTGCTCTGCTGCGGGTCCCCGTGCCGAAGGTGCAGAGCCCGCAGCGCGGGCGCTCAAATCTCCCGCTGGTCCGCCGGACTCACGTGCCGGAACACAGTGAGGTCCGGGAGAGGGTAGGAACCGCGGCCGGACCGCTCAGATGTTTCATCTTTAAGGTGGAGATGTCCAAGGACCAGGAAGTCCGAGGACATTTGTTCGGAATTTGCGTTTTCCGCAGGGTGACTGTCCTGGCGAGCCTCTGTCGTTCAAACTGTAAGGTTAACGGGGATTTTTGTTCGTAAAATTCGTTGTCTAGGGTATGTTCTACAAGGGAAGAAAGACCTTTGTGTTTCTTAGTTGTTGTTGGAGGATGAGTAGTGAGAACGGGATGGTGGCACACAAAAAGGGGATTTAGACCAATGAATGTACTGATGGAACTTGATCACCCAGTCAGAGTGGGCAGCTAGTCTATTTCACTGTTTAAAACGATCCTTCAGAAGAGAAAGATAAAAATTAAACAGTTGGTTATGTATGGGAAAGTCCCGTGTACTTTCCTTTTGGAGATGGAGAGAATTCACATTTGAATCTTTTAATCTGACTAAACCATTTTTTAACCCCTCCTTTTCTAACTGCTCCCTTTCATCTCAGCAAAGGATTGTGAGATAAAGATAAGACTTTTCAGCGTCTGTAGTTCTCCATCTAAGCTTCCTTAGGGGGTGGGAAGGCAGACCATGCTTGGTGTCTAGTAATGTGGATTCCAGTGGAGAAACATTTAGACCTTTAGCGTGGGCCTTTAGACCTCTGTGTCTGGGTGATTGGACACTTTTCTACAAGAAAGTCTGCCCTTTCTTCATGTTCTTGAAGGAGTCTTTGAGGGCCTCTAGTGTGTGCTTTGGGTCACATATCCATTTGCTTTACTTTCTCTGAAAGTAATCCCTGCTCCATCTTCCTGCATTTCAGTTTATTATATGAAACAGACTTGAGAAAATTCTCTCAAAACTGTGCATGTATGTGGATTAAGTTATTGGACCTAAAATTGTAAGTATTTTTAAGTTACTGCCTTCCTGCAAAAGTAACTATATCTCTGAATGACTAATGACTTTTTGTACACCGGGACTCCTATAAGCTCTTTGCATGCATCAACTCATTTTCATAATATCTCATCTGTGAGATAATTAACAGTTACTGTTTTTCTATTTGTCTACTCAGAAAACTTACGTCCCTAGAAGGTTAGGTATAGTGACTTATCCAAAGTGACAAGATTTGGATTAAAACCCAGGCAGTTTACCTTTGTCCAGAATTACTACTTCTGTAGAGGGAATGAAAGGATTTTTTTTTTTAAGAATTATCTTTAACTTTATTTATTTTAACTTGACCAGAGAGGGACAGAGAGAAAGAGAGAGGAAGTGAGAAAGCAAGCCGCCAGGTCTAGGACTTGAACTGCAGTCAACCACGTGGGAATCCAGCACCCTTAAAATCATGCCACCTACCAGCCCCATTTTTCTTTCTTTTTTTTAAATGATTATTTTATTTAACTTTATTTATTTATTTTATTTGTTTTAATTTGACCAGAGAGGGCCAGAGTGAAAGAGAGAGAGAGACATGGAAAGTGAGAAAGCAAGCCACCAGGTGTGGGACTCAACCCATAGTAGGCCACATGGGAGTCCAGTGCCCTTAACCACCATTTTACCTGCCAGCCCTTAAAGTTTTTTTGTTTGTTTGTTTGTTTTGTTTGGCTATAGGGTGCATGTACTTGACAGAGAGACAGAAAGTGAGAAATCACCTCCCAGGGAGCATGGCCAAGCTGTAATCCCTTCTCCATTTTCCTCTCCGGATCTTGGGCACGCATGCACACGTGCGTGGGGTGAGTTGAAGCCATCAGGTCTGGGACTCAAACTGTGGTCGACTACATGGGAGTCCAGCGACATAGCCATTATGCCAGCTGCTGGTCCCCCAAAAGAAGTTTTAATGAGAAGTTTTGTTTTCATTATTATACCAAGTCTAACTAAACTGTAGTTTATGAAGATTTGAGCTTATAGATATTTTGTATCTCAAAATTCTGTCATTCTACAGAATGTTCTAAATGCTGCTGCTTTTTTTGGTTATTACTGTCTTTTTTGGAGTGAGTGCTTCTCATAGTAGAATTTTCAGATTATTTCAAACTGGGGTGAACATTTGTGGAATGAACTGTATGCAAATATAAAATGAATTTAGAGACAGGAAGATGATAGAATCAGGATATATTCCAAAGATTGAGTGACTAAAGGAGAGGGAATGATTTAAACATTAGTTCTCCAGTAGTTGTTCACTCATTAAGATAAAGTTGGCAGAAAAACAAAATCCTAGAAAATGAATTTTCTCAATTTATCAGCTGTTTTCTCATTTGTTTCTCATGACCTTTTTCTGAAATTTGAAGGCATCAGTTGAAGGGATCAGTATATTCTTACCTACCAAAAAGATTTCCTATTGGGTTGTCAGTTACAAAAGGATTTATTTTATAAATGAAATAGGTATGGGGATTAGAACCTTCCCAAGTTTACTTAGGGATGTTTTCACTGGGGGACTTTTTTTTAAGAAGGTTTTTTTTTTTTTAAGAATTACTGAATTTTATTTAAATTAATTAAATTAAAAATTATTTACTTATGGTACTCATTTATTTATTTTCATTTGACCAGAGGAAGACAGACATACAGAGAGAAGGAAAGTGAGAAAGCAAGCCACCAGGTCTGGGACTTGAACCATGGTTGCACTGGTGGGAGAATCCAGTGCCTTAACCACCATGCCACCTGCTGGCCCT